AAAACTATGTTCATTGGGATTAAACACCCTGGGGGAAAACAACTCACTGTGAACTGATGTGGGTCCCGGCCACAAAGGCATACAGGGAAACGAGGAGGCTCACATACTAGCAAGAGAGGCCGCAGCCACTCGACATAAAGTCCCTGAACCCTTCCTTGCATTGGGACCTCACACCATCAAGGAAGAGTTGAGAGCAGAAGAGCAAAGGCTAAGAAGAGCACATTCGGACAACACGCCTGGACTAAGGCAGGCGAAAAAAACTTCTTGGAAGCCATAATCCCAAAAGGTCTAAGGAACTGATAACACTTCAAAAATACAAATCTGAGAGTTATAAGATATGAAGATGTTTTTTATTTCTTTTACTATGAACATCTAGCTTTCTTCGTTGAGGTGATGCTCGGACGACCTGAGATGGCAGGTTATAGTCGTACGTAGAACTGCGTTCAGGTACGTTTCAAGATTCCTCCGCTTGTGCCTGCTGTACAAAATTTTCGAGTTACAGCAAATAAGCAAATTAAAATATAGTAAAAATCATTAATAAATTAAAAATTTTTAAATTTGTTTATAAACAGATTTTATTTAGCATTGATTCTTGATTTTCTGAAATTACAAAGATACTTATGTATATGTATGTATCGCTGAATTTATCTTCTTATTTCTTCTCTCCTTTGCGAACTTTCGCCAGTTCTTTGTACGAAAATCAGAGGCCATTCAGAACTTGGTCCTTCCGTAGCATCATCTACTTTATATAAGCATGGTATGCCCAAGTCAGCACAATCGCATTTTTATGCGTTAAGTTTTTTTTGGCTCAAGCTGTGGTGTAGTGGTTAGCAGTGCGCGCTGCCATTCCGCAAAGCCAGGGTTCAAGCCATCGCAAAAAAAAAACAAAACAATTATAATAGTAAAAGTTTTTTTTTCTAAAAGCGGTCGCCCCTCGGCAGGCAATGGCGAATCTCCGGGTGTATTCGAAAACTGCTTCTCCTAAAAATACAATCGCCGCTC